GTTCAGTTTTCTGGTCCTTCATCCTGGGTACAACCTCGGTCATAACATATATGAGCTGGATCTGTCTACAGTGTTTAACTACAGTACAGATGTGACTGCAGATCTCCTGATAGGACAACCCTCGAGTCATTACAGTGAGCTTTACTGGAAGCTGCTGTTATGATCAGAGTCATGCTAGTCAAAAACTTGTTCCCAGAAAAAGTATTTCAAAATGATTTCTGTTGCAACAAAATGAAAAAGAGGGGAAAAAAAAGATGAAATTTTAAACTGACTGTCTTTGTATTAAACAAACATGATTAAATGTGTTACAACATGCTCTGTGTTGTTAGCTGCCATCAGTACAGGGCTCTGTCTGACCTAGTGACAGTCATCATTCTGTAACTTTCTCTGCAACGCACAGATTAATCAGGTTTGTCAGGGTGGTGTGGGACGCCAGGGACAGTGTTCTCTGGTGAGGGGAGTCGAAGCCAACCCACCTCCAACACGTTTGTGCCATGAAATGAGGCTAAACAAAACTGAAACTGTGGTCGATGTGCAAATGTAAAGCTCCTTTAAGGCTCAGTAATGGGACGAAGGGACGACATGTGGTCTGTGCAACAGTAAGCGACAAGAAAAACATTTATTAACGTGAAATATTGATAATGACACAGAAACTTTTTACCAATGACACGAGGGAGACGTCCGTCACACATTTAATGTGGTGGACTCCACGTCAAGCCAGCTGAGTCTCTTTTGGTTCTGTGATGCATGCTTCATTTCTGAAAACTCACATCTTTGCAGGACATAGCCTGCTCCATCTGTGATTTATGAACAGTCAGAGGAAGCCTAAAGATTAACTGGTCGGAGGTTATTTCACAAAACTGTTTTGTGAAATCAGTGACTTCCACACACATTATGGAAACCGGTGACGTACCTGGTCTTGTGTAAATCTGAGTCACATCACAGTTTCTCATGTTTCTCAATTAAGCAGTTCTGTAAGTAATATATTATTTACATAAATTAAGTTTTAACTTTACATAGATGGAAGTTGGGATTCATATAATGGATGTAAAATAACTTGAAGTTAGTGTTACTAAACCATATACTAGTGTAAAATAAAACTCATTTCCTCATATGATATTAAAGAAAGTCCAAAAAATGTAGTTTGAATGAGTGACCTCAGCTGAAGCAGATGAAGATGGAGAGTCCAGGTTCTTTCTCTTCTTCCTGGGGCCGATGGCTGCCAAAGCTGTCAGGTTGGCCTCTCTTTGTCTCATCTGAGCCAACTCCTGCTGTTGCATCTGCACACACACACACACACACACACACAAAGTAAATGAATCATATACATAAACTTGCATACTGCTCTCCACCTCCCCTCATACCTCTTTAGCCTTTTGCTTCAGACGCAGCTGCTCTGGATCCTCTTGTCGAGCTCGAGACTGAAAAGCCAAAATGAACACCAGATTAATTTGAATATTATAACATTTTACAAGTAACTGGAAAATAGATTTTAACTTGTTTATTTAGAATGAAGCTCATTAAATTTCAGTCATGTTGGAACCCCCCTAACAGTTAAATACATCTTATTGCTAAGATCTGATGTAACACGACTTAATAAAAATCGTCTGGTCCTTATCAGAATTAAACAAATAGAAACTCAGAGGAATTGTTTATTATCTGGGTGTCCAAAAACTTCTTTAAAAAGTTTTCAGTTGATACAAAATGCTGCTGCTGGAGTTTTAATGAGAGTTAGGAGGAGGGATCATATCTCTCCTGTTTCTCTCCATTGGCTCCCTGTCCTGAATTGAATTCAAAATCTTACTTCTAACCTACAAAGTTCTCAACAACCTAGCTCCATCTTATATTACAGATCTTACTGTTCCATATTTTCCTAACAGAGCACTTTGTTCTCAGACTGCAGGCTTACTTGTGGTTCCTAGAGTTTACAAACGCAGAATGGGAGGAAGATCTTTCAGTTATCAGGCTCCTCTCTTGTGGAACCAACTTCCAGTTTCTGTCTGTGAGGCTGACACGTTGTCCAGTTTTAAGACTTTCTGTTTGATAAATCCTAAAGTTAGGGTTGGCTTGGGTTTCTTTCATAAGCTATTGCTGCTATAGGTTTAAACTGATTGAGGACAAATTTAAAACATTTCCTCACTCTGCTGCCGTCTTTACTCTACTCGACCTGTTTGTATTTGTAACTAAAGTAATTTTGTCTTTATCTTTTTTGTCTTTCTTCCAATAGAAAGTACATTCTGTGTTTGTTTGTTTCTCCTTTCTGTCCTCTCAAACCCAGCCGGTCGAAGCAGGTCACAGGTTGTGAGGCTGAAGAACACCATGTCAGACACCATACTGAGCAGCACAGGGGCTCCTCAGGGGACAGTCCTCTCACAGTTTCTGTTCACCCTCTACACCTCGGACTTCAGGTACAACTCACAATCCTGCCATCTTCAGAAGTTCTGAATGACTCTACCATTGTGGGCTGCATCACTGGTGACCAGGAAGATGAATACAGAGGTGTGGTGGACAGCTTTGTGGAGTGGTGTGGACAGAACCACCAGCAACTCAACATTGGAAAAACAAAAGAGCTGCAGGTGGACTACAGTAAGGAGACCAGCCCCCCCAACCCTATCAACATCAAGGGTACTAAGGTGGACACTGTGGACTGCTACAAGTACCTGGGGCTCCACCTAGACAATAAACTGGACTGGACAGCTAACACCAACACCCTCTACAAGAAAGGACAGAGTCGCATTTTTCTTCTGAGGAGACTCAGGTTCTTTAACATTTGCAGGACCAAGCTGCAGATGTTTTACCACTCGGTAGTCTCTGTAGGACCATGCTGCAGATGTTTTACCACTCGGTAGTCTCTGTAGGACCATGCTGCAGATGTTTTACCACTCGTGGTCTCTGCAGGACCATGCTGCAGATGTTTTACCACTCATGGTCTCTGCAGGACCATGCTGCAGATGTTTTACCACTCGGTAGTCTCTGTAGGACCATGCTGCAGATGTTTTACCACTCGGTAGTCTCTGTAGGACCATGCTGCAGATGTTTTACCACTCAGTGGTCTCTGCAAGTCC